TTGCATATTGCCTCTGTATCGCTTTTTGGGATAAAATAATCCCAAGTCCAATGGAATTTATCTTCTTTCTTCTGTTCTTCATTTAATTTTTCTGAATGTTTCTTCACCAAATGTTTATGTAAATTTGCTAAAGATCTTGTTCGTAAACTATATTCTTTATTACAGTAGGTGCATTTTACTTTATAACTATTTGATAGTTTCGTATAATGTTCACGTATCCATCGACGAACTGGGATAAAATTGTCTGTTTTTGAAGTTATATCCTTATTTGCAGCCATGTCGTTATCTGAATTGCTCTCGTTATCTGCACAATCGGAATTTGAACCCAATATCCTACATTAACATAAAAAGTTATGAAAATGCAATAAAAAGTGCAGTAGACATGATTTTTTCAATTATGTACAGACTAAATTATAATTTTTATGAATTTATTATTTGAATATTTAGGAGTAATCAAGAATTTAGAGATCAAGCAAATTTAAATATTTTTTAAATATGATAATTATCGGATGAAAACCAGAATGTATTATTGTTACTAATTTTTTGTATTAAACACAGTGATATATTTGACGACATGCACCCAGAAACCTGTCTAATAAATTTTTTGGTTTGTTTAATAAATTTTTTTAGTTTTATTTTAGTATATTTTTCTGTGTTACGTTTTCTTTAGTTAACATTGATCATTTTACTATTTTAATTTTATATTTTACAGTACGTTAAATAATTATTTTAATTTATTTGAAGTATACATACTTGTGAAGACGTTTTAAGTGACTTCTGAGAACACTTACTGTATGATACTTAAGTGTTCTGTTACATTTATTGCATATTGCCTCTGTATCGCTTTTTGGGATAAAATAATCCCAAGTCCAATGGAATTTATCTTCTTTCTTCTGTTCTTCATTTAATTTTTCTGAATGTTTCTTCACCAAATGTTTATGTAACTTTGCTAAAGATCTTCCTATCCTATATTCTTCATTACAGTAGTTGCATTTTGCTTTATAACTATTTGTTAGTTTCGTATAATGTTCACGTATCCATCTACGAACTGGGATAAAATTGTCTGTTTATTTTGGATAAATGCTAGAAGTCCATGAGCAGAATTTAAAAAAATATTAGGTTATTTTGAAGGGAATTTAATAAGCTTTAAGAGATAACGTTTTATAAAATTATAATCCAAATTTCTTTTTTTTTTTTAAATTAAAGAAATGTAAAAAGTGAGCAAATCGCAAAGTCACAAAATTGTGCTCCTAATATGAGATGTCCCGAGAAATCGATAGTAAAACGCAAAGTATATCAGTTATTACAATTAGAAAAACTTTATTTCATGTTTCTAAAATGCAAACAAAGCCAGCGTGCGTGAAAAATGAGCATGCGATAGATTATACCCAGAACTTCAGGTAGTTGGAATCAAGCATCGTAGAGATAAGCACTCGACGTTCATTCCGGTTGTCCTTTTTATTATTACAATAACACTTATTCTTTAGCAATTTTCACTATAACATAGGAGCATGAGTTATTTCATATTAGAAATATTCTGGGTATCTCATATTACGATTTCTACGCCTTATATGGTTTTACGATCATCAAATCTAACTTCTGTAATTAAATAATTCAATATATCCCATATTTTTCTATTAGTACGACCTTACTCTATCACTACATGAAGAATTTATTGCCAAATATTTATTAAATAATAAATGAGATTTAAAGCTTCATCTCAATGAAACTTAAAAACATACAAATTCTAAAATGATGTTTTACAATGACTACAGACATGATCTAGTAATGAATTTTCTACTAAATAGTTTTTAATCCAAGAGCAATAAATTCATGGTGGAACCTATAGGTAGCATTTATCAGTTTAGTAGAAACACCGCTATCTCATATTAGGGGGCTTTCCTCTAATAATAATAATAAATTTCCATTCCGAAATCTCAGGATTAATTGTATTTGTTGAAATTGATCGATAATTGAAAGCTCATGTGGACATCATGTTAGAAAATTCCTTACATTTTTAAATTTTTATTTTAGTTGATTTTAATTAACAGTATGTTTGATATAAGAATTACAGACAAGTTTATACATACTTGAAAGGCTCCTCGACACAGTTGATATAATACTGTCATGTAAACAGTAAATTTTTATTTATTTGACGTCGGAATATTAGCTTATTCATCGTAGATCTAAATCTCTCATCAGAATTTTATTTAACAGTGGTTTAGAAATCTTAAAATTTTGCTATTGTTTAAATATACAGAAACATAAAACTAATTGCGAAATTGTCGCGTTGAATCCTCGCTTAAATATGGGTCAATCGAAAATCTTCGAGAATAATTTTCAAAAAGATTATTCTGTTTTGGATCTTTCTGCATACATTAATATTTATATTATATTCGAGTTTTTAAATGAATAATACTTCGATATATCTTAAACCGATTTTAATAAAATAAAAAAATATACTGTAATTCTATATTAATTGTATTTTGATTAAAAATAAAAAATTAACGAGAGTTATAAAATTTATGAGTAACACAATTATAAATTTTACTCGTGATTCTAAAAATTTATCTTTGTTTGTTCAACACATGACCGAGCCAAAATGCTTGAACAGCTTCGTTGTTTTGTTGCCATTCGGAAAAAGCAACAACAATAAACAACAACAACAACAACAACAACAACAACAACAACAATAATAATAATAATAATAATAATAATAACAATTCGTTCTCCAGAGAACACGTCGATAAACGGCGCGCATCTGCAATGTCCCGACGCCGCTCGTCGTCGGCGTCGCGTATTGACCGTGGGGATAACGATAATTGTATTGTCGCGTCGCTCGACGACGACTACACGACGACGAGCGAAATCAGCGTGAGCGTAATAATCGTAATGCCGACAATAGGCAACGCACAAAGGGAATTAGACACCTATATACACGCGGAAGCGTGTTCGCGCGCGGGCGTCGCGACAGCCGTGCGCATGTCACCCGCTTATGCTGTCTCTCCCTGGCCTCACTCTCTCTCTCTCTCCCTCTCTCTCTCTCTTCTCATGCTGGGGTTGGTTCCTCTCTAATTACATCGATCCCCGACCGCCATCCGATTGGTCCACCATCCAGGATCCAGCCTCCACCCGTTCCACCACTGCCGCCGCCACCGCCACCGCCACCGCTGTCGCTGCGCCGTGCAGGTAAATCTCATGCGAACGTAAAACAATCAGATCATCCGGGAAACCGCGAAGAGGGGTACGGGGCAGAGGGAACCCTAGCTCGGGGTCCATGATGACGCCGGGATGCTGCGGAGAGTGTTGCCCAAGTTTTTTAGCCACCGAGCGTTTAATGGTTGGGGGGGCTTTGCAGAATCTCGTTGCCGTAGTTGTTGTTGTTGTTGTTGTTTCCGTTTCTGTTGCTGCTTGATATCGCTTGATCTTTTGAGGAATAGAATGCCCATGCGAATGTGTAAAACGTAATGCGCGAATTAAAGATAATTGAGAGATAATATCAGAAATAAATATAGAAATATTGTGTCATAAAATGAAATTGAAATAAAATAATAATAATGATGTATTGCATTAGTCAAAATAATTTTAAATATCATAATATTTTATATGTTTTTACAGATAATTTCCAACGGATCCTGAACTCGATAATAAATTATAGCAAACAAATTATAAATAGAAATTTGATGGTTTTTTTTTTAATTAAATATTTTATTAGTTAAAAAAACAGCTTTATTATCCATTTAATTCTCTAAATAACATTTCAAAAAAAGCCTTTTTAAATTTTTTAATAATTTGGAAATTATTAATGACCCACATTTTGAAAAATCAATTTCAATTTATATCTGTCCAAAATATCTGTCGTAAAAAGCGAAAGTAAAAGAATTTTCTATATTGAAGTATTTATCGTAAAAAAATAATGCCATTAAAGTAGAGCATTCTATGTATCTAAAATATCGTCACAAAATTTATATTTTAAGACAAATTTATCATAATATTATAATGTTATTATTTTATTAGAAGTTTAATAAATTTCGCAATTGGATTTGCTCATCCTTGCTTGTGAAAAGCATATAGAAACGGGTAGTAATAAGGAGGATAGTATTTTAATCAAAGATTCGAATTGGAGGGAAAATATTTGAATGCCAACAAGTAATAATAATCGGCATTCATCAGAACTCATCGTTTCATTGCATGAAAATAGAATAGAATGAACTCACAGAGCAATCTCGCTGTTCACGCTAAACCGCACGCATTCTTTTTCTTCCATTCCTCTCTCTATTCGCGAAAACCCCCTTTTCATTTTCTCGCGGAGCAACGCGTGATTGGTATATCGTGATTATTAAAGTAACTTATATTTTCCCCCTCTATTGTTTTTCTGAAATCACTTTTTTTATTGTAAATTTAGTCGTATGCTGCTTAATGATATAAATCTGCATATAAAACATGATTTTTTTCCTCGAGACTCAAGACATATCTAAGTAAGATAGTTTATCATTTATATCAGTATCAAAGAAATTATTACGATTTGCCAATAATATTTCTATATATATATATAAATATAGCTATTAATTAATTTATTATATAATTTTTCGGAGAAGCCGAATTTTTTGTGAGCACGATATTGAATAAGCCACTGGATAAGATTCATTGTTGACAACTGTAAGCAATAAGTGGTAAATATTCCGTATGCGTATACTGTTGCTTACTTTATTGTCTCTTTACTTGAATAATTTGTAGTCATAAAGTAACCGTCGCCGTGACATAGCAATAGTATTTTAAAACAACATTCTGATAATTAAGATAAATTCTAAAAGTGGCATGGTTTATCTTAATTTTGGTATATACATGTATATTATATTAAACGTATATACACACAGAAAAATATATACTGTATGCAAATAATAATTATTTTGTTTCAGTAAAAGCATTTAAAAAATTCATCTATCCGCAAATCTATCATAAATTCATTAGCATCAAATTTATTCAAAACATATTCTGAATCTTAATAAGTTTAATATTTCAATTAAGATTATTAAATTGGAACAAATTAAATTTACTTATTATTAAAGACGCTTCTTAGTTCAGTTTTATATTAAAAAAAAAAAAAAAACCCAGAACTTTTAAGTTTGTTTTAAGTTTATAACAATGAATTTTTTTGAAACTTGTAACAAGTACATTTTAAGATCATTCTAAAAAAATATTCTTTAGTAGAGATAGCGACCGTTACTCGAAAGGAAGAAAATAAATTAAGCAACCACTTTTCTTAACAAAATAGAATGATATTTTTCTGTTTCTGCGACAAATACATTGCCTCTTGATATTTTTATTAAGAAAACAAATTTTTAATGATCAAAAACTTTCTAGACGCTCATAGATTACAAATTACAGATTATCCTCGTAATCTTCGTTCATGGAGAAGTTCTAGGACCTCTTACAAATGCTTTAAGGAAGGAAATCGAGATCGCCATGGTGAAATCGGGAAATTCTAAGGGGTATCGCGTGTTTATCCGTCCACAGGAAGCGAAACTTTCGGCCGTACAAATGCGGCCGCACGTGCGATTTCGCATAGGGGCGGTGCAGTGTCGCACGGGAAAGGGAGGGTGACCGAGGGTGGAGTGATATCTCCGGATGTAGAAGGGAGATATCCCCCTACCTCCGGTCCTTCGTTTCTCAGTCAGCACGAGGTGAGAGAATGGAGGACGGCCAGGTGATTCAGACGCGCGTGCCACCCCGCAGAAACTGACGTTCTCCAGCCCGCGGGATCTTCTTCGTCTTGCCGCTGTGCGAGTTCTTCAAACTCTGAAAAGAATTAAGTCCTACGGGATAGCTTCAGTTATGATCGACCGGAGAATTGTATTTTTGTGAAGTTATTATTGGGAGTTAATTCGGGACATGGTAAAATCGAGTGAAAATGAATTTCGGTCGGATAATGAAAAGAAGTAATGAGAGAAAAGTGAATCATGAAAGATAATCAGGTTAAAAACTTACGACAGACGGAAATTTTGTTTCGTAAAACTGTGAACTCCGCGTTCTAGAAATTGGAACAGTTTTAAGTTTCGAGTTTCTGGTTTCTACGAACGTGTCTTGGATGCATCGAGTCCATTGGAATAAACGGTCATAAACATTTTCTACAAGTTGAAATCTGATGACACTTAAAAAAAAATCTTTTATTTATCTAGAAGAATTTTAAGAAGAGAGAGACTTTTACTAGATTATTTTGCTTTGCTTGGAAGAAATTGAGAAATCTTTCGTATGAACAATTAAGTCTACAGATTATATAAATTCGTTAAATGTCCGCAAAGAAGACGAGAAGACCGTCATCGCCGCGACGTTTCTTTGCGCGGCTTTACGGTCATTTGGAGGCGACGAAGAAAACGGAAGATGACGAGGACGAGGATCACGCGAGGGAGAGTCTGGATTCTTCGCCAGAGATCACGGAGAAATCATCACATGAGCTTCCCGACTCATCTGAATCACATAAAATGTTGCCTGTGAGTACAAATAGATCCTTCGTTTTAATATACACACAGAAAAGTATCATTCTATCGCTAGAAAGAAAAGTGATCACTCGATTGATTTTCTTTCTTTTAAGTTACGGTTATTTTTAACGAAGATATTTTCTCGAGAATAATTTTAAAATGTACTGGTTATGAATCTTTTAGAGAAACTCATTATACATTTTGTACTCAAAACAAGAATTGTCTTTTGAAGAAACTTGATACAATAAGCAAATCGAGTTTGTTTTAATTTAATAATTTCATGAATTAATGATTTCATTGAATTATTAAACTCAAATCATCCTAATTTTCGGTTGATTTCTATAGAGTTCCAGAGACTGACTTTAAAGTTAAGTTTCTTAAACTTTTTTTGAGGAAAATGTTTTGATTGATAGTATGATAAGAAATTCCGTTTGGTCTCACCAAAATGTCAATTCTTGTCGGTTTTATTAATTAATCAAAATATTTTGTTATTGTAATTTATTAGTATAATGTATTTAATATAATTTTAAAATTTTCAAAATTCCTATATGATATTATAATTTTTTAGATAATTTCTTTAGTTTTTAAATACAAATTAGGACACTTCTCAAAAGTCTATATCTCTTCTAAAATTTCTTAACCTGTGAATTCTGAAATATTACAAAATTTGTAACTTTCTTATTCTATATTTACGAAGAAAAGTTATAAAAGCAAGAAGCTTAAGATATTTTTTTACAAATCTTCGTAAGTTTGAAATGTGAACAATTCTCAAAAAAATATGATAAAATGATATGAGAATTTTTGTCTAAATTTAGTCAACGTTAGGATTAAACTGTCATTTTTCTACTTTTTGTAAGGTGTCACACTCCAAGGACCTCGAAAAAGTGCCAAACGATGTCGCAAGTAGTAAAATATTCGAGAGCAAGGAAACGAAGAAAGATTCGATGCTCACAGGTGTGAGACTGCCTTTTCTGCACGGATTCCTTCCGCGAGGACCCGGCCAAACTTTTCATCTCACGCAGCTCGCGCACCCATCCACGCTGCCGTCGCATCTTCACGTTTTGCCGAACCATCAGTCCATGGCCGAGCACCACTTCCAAGGATTCTCAGCCTTTCGTAAGCTCCTGTTGCTTCCGTATCGCAAATTTCAGTTTTCCGCAATTAGTTAACATAACATTCACACGTCTTCCGCTGCTATGGAAGAATTCTATCTAATAAATGCACATAATCGATTTTTGTTAAATCCATTTTAATAAAATTAATTTTAATCATAAATTTAATCCGATATTCGTAGGTTCAATGTATTTTAAATTATATCTTAAAGTTAATGTAATTGAATAATTTTTTTTTTATTTTGAAGGTCAAAATTCGAAGCATAAAATTATGTAACTTAAAATTATGTAAGGTTATGAAAATTTAGCTTCAATTAACAAAAGTTGCTTTATTTTTGTCGAGTATTTAATTTGGTTGATTTTAAACAATGATTAAATAATGAAACTGTTGATTAAATAATTCGCGTTGTCCTGAAATTTCTGAATGCTTGCAAATATCAGGATTACAACCATTTAAGAATGTTCGGATTTTAAAACTAAATTATTAAATAACTAAAAATAAATTGATCCTATCGCGAAATTCTTCACGTAAAAATCTACAAGTAAACCGGATACTTGAACATTCATTGCTAGATATTCTACGAATATATCAAAATCTATATATTTTTCATTTAAAATTATAATATACATTAAGAGCCTCAATTTTAGCATGGATTTTATTTGATATTTTATGTGGTACTATCTATGTATGTATCTGTGTTTGTTTCTTTGGCCAAGAAACAAACACTCTGTTCCATTCGTGCATCCAACCTGCAAGTTGCAGGAGATACATACCACGAAATTGCAGATGACTGCATAACGCGTCTCCAAAAGCTCGACTCTCTCTCTCTCTCTCTCTCTCTCTCTCTCTCTCTGCCTGCATTTTGTACCTCCCTCCTCCTCGTCTCTTCGTAAGCTTAGGATCGAAAGGCGTCTTTGCGTTCGAGTATTCGCGAATCAGTAAGCAGATTTTGTGATGTCGCATTACGTGACGCCCGCGCCGAACGGACACGGCCACCGTCCAGACGGAGAGGATATTGAGGCACTCTTCTGTCGCGTAACAATGGCACAATCCCATACAGGAAGGATTTCAGGAGGAAATCAATTCAGACGCTTCTCTGATATTTAACAAAACTTTCACCGTTTTTCCGCGGCCTGGCTCTCCCCTAGCTCTCTCTAAAAAAATAAAAAAAATGTATTTTGTTCATTTATACATTTTTCGCAGAAACACGACATTACAAAAGAGGCACTTGAAAGGGAATCTTTTATCTTATAGAAATTTGACAAATTTTGAAATATCAAAGTATTTGAAATAAATAAAAAAAAAGTAAAAGCAGGATTTGATATATGAAAAGCGTAGCTTTTTCAAGTACAAAAATAATTATTTGAAACATAGAAAATGTCGAGCAATTACTTATAGGAACATCCGGAGCAAATAATCGTTTTTAAGCGGATGAAGATATTTTTTTGAATAATTTCACAGAACAAATTTAAAGAACTTTCTTATAAAATTGGAATAATCTCGGTTTTCTAAATTTCCCAGTTATTTCAGAAGTTGTACGAACGTAGTAGAACAGTATATCAACTTATCAAAATTCAATTAATATATTTCTAAATAAAGTATTTTTAATTCAAATATTTTAGAATTTTTCATAAAATATAAATATGAAATCAAAGTTTCTGAAATATTCTTTTTCTTACAATATTTTTAAAATATAATATTTTAGTGAAATATTTAAAATATTAAAAATATTCTACAAATATTTACGAAAAACTTTTAAAATATTAAAAAAAATTGTTCATATAAATATTTCACGCTGTATGGGATTTCTATTTTTACAAACGGGTTTAGAGATATTCTAGCAGATGACCAGAGGATATCACTGCGGTGGAGGACGGGAGAGAGGAATTAACGAATTTCACTCTTCATCTGGAAAGTTTGACGCTCCGCGTCACGCCAGAAACATTGCGAGGACAAGCCGCACGAGGCACGCACACTCACTCGCGGGTTTTATCCCGCTTCGACACTTCGTCGCGATATTGTGATGAGATTATGAGACGCAGTTGGCCGCTCCTCAATGCGAGAAATACACACCGCCGCGGTATTCCTACTGAAAAACCCAACTCTTCTCCTCTCCCGGGTTCCCTTAAGCCTCACAAGCCACCGATTCGACTCGCCGGAAGATACATGCCGGATGTTTGTATAAGTCGCGGCTTGTATCGTCGAGGAATCTATACCCATTGATGCCTGTGACGTATCTAGATTTGATCCCGGCGATCCCAATTTGTTCCAAACGTCGAAAGATATTTTTTCGTAGAGATATTATACTTAACAGGTGTCGCAACGTATCAACGAATATTATACAGAAATTCACATAATATTCCATAATATCTTATAATATTCTGAAGAATTTTTCATATTTTAAATTTATAAAGATTTCTAAAGTCTTAAACGGTTATGAGGTCCAAAGAGCAATTAGTATCCTATATCCGCTTTACGCCAGATTGGACGAAGCCTAGGGAAGCCTCAATTTCCGATATCGCTCTCTTTTACCAGTGCATCCTAATTATTCTATTACGTAACAAAGATGAAATTACAGCATGACCAGATTTATTTCATGAATCCCATCAAGTGTGCTGAAAAACGAAAATGAGAATCAAATTGAAGTATTAAGGAAGCAAATCATGATACACATGTGACGAATTTTTAAATTATTGAATTATTTTAAAATATTTAAATTAAATTATTTGTGTTACTTGTTGCTTTTCGTCAAATAATTTAAATGTTTAGAAGAAATTTGTGAAAATGATAAGCTTTGTCACGTGACTATTTGTTTTACGCTGATCAAATTATTAAACAATAATTGAAATAACGAGCTATATTATTTTTCCATCCCC